TTTGAAGTTACTCTTTATTCGTAAAATACGACCGAAAATATTGTAATTTTGTCATTTATCCTAAAATTCCTAATGTGTTTCCTGATATCGTCGTCTTTAGCTCAAGCCCTAGGTTCCTGATCGTTTCGTCACCCTTCTCGATTCCCCGAACCCTAGCTCTGAATCAGAATCAATAATCTCCCTCCCCTAGATTCCTGCTTTGATCTCCTCAATCGCACAATTCGGCTTTTCGAGTCGAAACAAATTTTGTTGTCGACGAACGAAAGAGGTTTTAGCGCGGCTATAAGCTTTTCTCGTGAGAAGTTGGATGCTGAAGAATGAGTTCTTTCTCGATCACCAGGAAGAAAACACCATTCCAGAAACACAGAGAAGAAGAAGAAGCCAGGAAAAAGGTTTGTTTTTGTTTTGTTTTCTCTTTAGCTATTCGTATTCCAAAGCCTTTCATAATCTGTATTGTAGTTAGAATTTGTTCTGTGGAGATCGATAATCGAGGGGTTTTTTTTTCCATCTTAATGCAGAAAGCGGAGGATGAAACAGCTCGTCTGTATCAGGAATTCGTGGAATCGTTTCAAGGAGACACTGCAACTAAGACTTTTGTTCGAGGTGGGACGATTAATCCCGGCGACAAGCCTAAGGTTGATTCTGAAGGTTAGTCTCGGAAAACGCTCTACGGCTTTTAGCTCTTGTTACATGCCTCTTTGTGTGTTGTCCATTGTACTTTTGATGGTGTCTAATGGTAGAGCAAAGCTTTTATTATGTAATGAACACATTAATAAGAGTATGGACCTTTTTCTATGCATTCGCGGATGGCAGGTGAAAAGTCCAAAGATGGGGGTTCGATTTCAAAGAAGGGGAGTAGGTAAAACTGATTGCTTTCGATTGATCAATCTTGCGGTGCTAAGAATTTATAAACACAACCGCTCGTGATTTTGCTGATGCGTATACACTTTTGATAAGAATCTATCTTGCGTTTGTGATATTTAGAAATCATATATTTCTGTCATCTGTATATAGCAACTAGCTGTGGTCATATATTTCTGTCATTAGTAAAAGTTGTGGGTCTTAGGAATGATATGCTTGGGTGTTGCTTGATAAGGCATGGGTTCTTGTGATATAGAAAATTATCCTCTACGTAATCTCTGCAGGTATGTTCCCTCTTTTCTTCCACCACCGATGGCATCTAAGGGTAAAGAACCTGAGAAGAAGGTCAGTAGCATGGATTTTGTCAATTCATTTTTTTTTTTTTTAATTGAGTTTTCTATTTGAAGCAATGCTTTAGCTGTAAGTTCATTTATTTCATCTTTCTAGAGGGAGGAAGATAGACCTAAGGAGAGAGAAAAGGGAAAGACTCGAAATATAGATAATTTCATGGAGGAGTTGAAACGTGAACAAGAGATGAGGGAAAGACGAAACCAGGATCGTGACCGTCAGGGCGATACCTCGGTAAGTTCATCACAGTCTTGCATTGTCTTTATCTGTGTTCTGCTCTGAGATAACCCTGTACTGTTTTTTGGAGAGATATACTAAGCTTATTCTTTCTTCAGCCATCTAGTCGCTTTGATGAGCTACCTGATGATTTTGATCCCAGTGGAAGGCTAGGATCGTTTGACGATGGTGACCCACAAACTACAAATTTGTATGTTGGGAATTTGTCCCCAAAGGTACTTGAATTCATGTGCTGTTTCCTCTCGCCAATGGTTTCTAATATTCGTCTTTGACTAATACTCTTAAGATATGATCCTTTTGTTCACCTAGGTTGATGAAAATTTCCTTCTCCGCACCTTTGGAAGATTTGGGCCCATAGCTAGTGTCAAGATTATGTGGCCAAGAACAGAAGAGGAGAAGAGGCGGCAAAGAAACTGTGGCTTTGTTTCCTTCATGAATAGAGCTGATGGACAAGCTGCAAAAGATGAGATGCAAGGTTAGCTAGTCTATATTCTTTCTAGAACTCTCTCTTGTAGCCTGGGCATAGACATTTGGTAGGAAAGGGCAACATGAAACGTTTTTAGGTATATAATGCTTTTCCGTGGCATATCAGTTTGAATACTTTGGGTCAACAAAATTTGATTGGTTTCATATGTGCAAAGCCTGCATCAGTGTCAAAGACATACTTAACCAATATTCAATACAAGGGATACGTTGGCGTTTAGTTTTACTATTACTGCTTTGTTTTGGTAAGTTTGTCTTCATTGATACTCTTTGCCCATTGGTTGGTCAATGTTGGAAACTACTGACCCTTCTGGCATTATTAACTAGTCCACGGTCAACTGGTTTTGTATTACCTGAACCTCCTGATTACATGTGATAATTGTAAAAGAAAGCTATGCCAATGAAGTAAATTTAAAATTTTACAGGGATTATCGTGTACGAGTATGAGCTGAAGATTGGATGGGGTAAAGCGGTTTCTCTGCCATCACAAGCGTTACCTGCTCCACCACCTGGACATATGGCTATTCGGAGTAAGGAGGTTTGTGATGCATCCTGTGCTGCTCTTTGAGATTCATTTCTTCTCTAACTCTATTCACTAACCTGTGAATGGGACTGATCCCTGATCTGCCATTTTTTGTACGACAAGTTCTTAAATGCCAGTTTTACATTTGTCTAAGGAAACTCTAAAATTTCATATATTTTCATTGGCAGGGTTGCAACTTGATTTTTTCTGGTCAATCGGGTCCACCAATAACTTCCGTTCCAAATCAAAATTCTGAGCTGGTATGCAAACTGCGCTCCACACGGCTTAAATTCGCTTTTTACAATTATATATGATATTTGAGGGGTACTTGAATTGCTTCATACTCCAGAAATGTTACTGTTAGGTTTCAGAATTGATTTTCTTTATTTCTTAAGGTAACGTAGAACAGACACAAAACCAAAGAACAAACTAGGGATGAAGTCTGTGGCTCTGTAGTATCCTCTATAGTTGGCGACACTCTTAGCAGCTATGCATCTTTAGTAATCTTATTCCAAATGAACTTCTGTTTCATCGAATTCCATTCTCAGGTTCTTACCCCTAATGTTCCGGATATCACTGTTGTTACTCCTGAGAATGAGCACCTCAGACATGTGATTGATACAATGGCTCTCTATGTTCTGGATGGTGAATGTGCTTTTGAACAAGCTATCATGGAGAGGGGCCGTGGGAATCCACTGTTTAAGTTCTTGTTCGAGTTGGGCTCAAAGGAGCATACTTACTACGTCTGGAGACTCTATTCCTTTGCTCAGGTACATATTAATTTCTCTATAACTAGGTATATCTGATATCTTCTTCCGCTTTACATTGTAATAGGCTGATGAATGTCTTTGGATTATTTAGGGTGATACACTTCAAAGGTGGAGAACAGAGCCATATATCATGATAACTGGTAGTGGCAGGTATAAAACCTTCCCAGCTTTGAAACTGATCCTGGTCTTTGTTAGGATTTACTTTACACTTCTATCGTATTAACACTGTCTAATTGCTCTTTTTGTAGGTGGATACCGCCACCACTGCCTGCAACCAGGAGCCTGGAGCATGAAAAAGAGTCTGCAAGCACATATGCAGCAGGAAGAAGCAGGGTAATCTTCTTGAAGTCTCATTTCTGATTTATTTATATTTCTTCGCTACGTTATTCTTTAGTAGTGCGGGATACCTTACACTGGTAAATTTTACAGCGTGCGGAAGTTGAGAGGACTCTTACCGACCCCCAAAGGGATGAGTTTGAGGACATGTTGCGTGCTCTAACTTTAGAAAGGATTCAAATAAAAGAAGCTATGGGGTTTGCTTTAGATAATGCAGATGCAGCTGGAGAGGTATTACTGTTCTGAATTATATTGGGACCTTTAGTTTTACAGACAAGTATATGCTTCATAGATATCCTTCAGAAACTTAAACAGATGTTTTAATCCTTATTTGTTATAAGAATATCGAAAAAGTGGTTCATTTGTATGAGGTATTAAAAGAATGCATAATAAACCTACAAAAATATAGAAAAAGATAACATCAGATGCTTTTCCTTGCTATTCAATATATTTTTAGAATCTTTTTTTCTAGACACTATATAGAATCTCTGAACATAGTTACTCGTCTGTATAGATCTCCAGATGCATTTTCCTATTTATATATTCGTACTCATTCCACAGGTTGTTGAAGTTCTGACGGAGTCCCTGACCCTAAAAGAGACATCAATTCCAACTAAAGTTGCTAGACTCATGCTTGTGTCCGATATTCTTCATAATAGCAGTGCACCTGTTAAAAATGCATCTGCATACCGAACCAAATTCGAAGCAACACTACCCGATATAATGGAAAGCTTCAATGATCTGTATCGGAGCATAACTGGAAGAATTACTGCTGAGGCTTTAAAGGTACTGTCAAAAAGGAAAATAATCTTTCATGTGTTTCTTTACCTTGTGATATGCTGTAGTAAACTCATTTTTAATTTTGCAGGAACGGATTCTCAAAGTGCTGCAAGTATGGGCAGATTGGTTTCTCTTTTCAGATGCATACATATATGGACTACGTGCCACATTTCTCCGAGCAGGAATTTCTGGTGTTACCTCATTTCATTCTATCTGCGGTGATGCACCTGAAATAGAGAAGAAAGGATACATTGACAATGTGACCGATATTAGTAAGATCAATCCAGATGCAGCACTGGCTATAGGAAAAGGAGCTGCAAGGCAAGAGCTGATGAATTTACCAATTGCTGAGCTTGAGAGACGCTGCCGACACAACGGACTGTCTCTTGTAGGAGGTAGAGTAATGATGGTTGCCAGGCTACTAAGCCTTGAAGACACAGATAAACAACGGGGCTATGAAGCAGTGGATGAAGTTGTAAAGTATCCGCAAGACCATTCAACTTGGGAAGAAGTTAAGAATGAGCCTGACCTTATCAGGAACAGCTATGCAGAAGTTGAAATGAAAGAGCCTATGAATCTGGCCACGACAATACAAATCCCACAGCCTGAGCTGAAAGACTTTGTAGGAAAAGAGAAGAGTGACCTCGTATTGCCAGCTTCAAAATGGGCAAGAGAGGATGACGAAGCTGAGGATGAACAAAAGAAGAGCTACTCTTCAGGAAGTGACAATGCTGGTGGGATAACTTTCAAGGCCGATGACGAGGATCTCAAGGGTAATGATTGTGTTCGTGCCCAACCTGACAGTGGAATGGACGAGGAGCAAAGGTAATGCATCTACTTTGAAAAGAAACTAACTTAAGCAGGCAAAATATGGATCTAAAAAATACCAATTTGCATTATTGCTTCATTATGGTGCTTGACAATTTATAGAAAAAAAAACACAGAGAGATTATTGGAAATAGTGCCAGAAAAGAGGAGCATGGGCATAAGGGTAGTTTATGTTAGTGAGGGGGTGTGTTCTTGATGAACTTCAGTTGATTTGGTCTTTGAAGACTACAAATTATTTCGCATTTTGGCTCTTGCCTGCTGAAAGTTAATAGCTGATAGCCATAGCTTTTGGACAAATGCATCAACCACATCAATGTGTCTATAAACCCACATATGACCTTGCACCTATACTGTAAAATTTCCAAGAAAATATGAGAACTTGGAAGCTGCTATTTAATTGTACTATCTGAAACTCAAATTTGCTGCTCCCTTACTCTGTTTTTTCTGTTACTGCAGACAAAAGCTTAGACGCATAGAAGTTGCTTTGATAGAGTATCGTGAAACTCTTGAAGAACAGGGGATGAAAAACTCTGAGGAGATAGAGAGAAAAGTAGAAAGCAACCGAAAGAGGCTTGAAGTTGATTATGGCTTATCAGGATCTAACGAGGGCAACAAAAATCGTAAGTTTATACTTCACACGCGACATTTACTCTTCTTTTATTTTGAGAAAGGTTATTTAAACTGTTCCATGTTCATTTGATGCAACTATTGGCGAAACTTGAGCTCTTTCTGCAAATTCTTAATCTCACTTTATACATGTGTCAGTTCGTCTCAAAACATTAAGATTAGAATTTGAGTATAGTCACACTTAATATTAGGGAAGTATATGAAGCCAAGGTATTTCGAAAAACTTGTTTTGTAATTTTACAAATGTTTTGCCAAGAACTAAGAACTAAATGCCTCCTTTCTTGTAGGTATTAGTCTTTTCTATGGGTCTTTATCTCGAACTTTAAGAGACATATGCTCTAGTGGACTTTGTTAGTTTTGACATATGCTTTAAGAGACATATTTCTCTATTGGACTTTCTCTTTTCGTGAGTGCCTTCATCCCGGAGACTTGACAGCATTTAGCGTAGTCCAGGACATGGCCATGTTCGTATAAATTTTAACAGTGCTTTTAACTGCAGAGAAATCAATAATAGAGCGGAAGGAGAGGCGTGAAGATTCTCGAGAGTCATCTAAAAAGCGACACCGTGGGGAAAACCAGAGCCATAGTCCACGGAAATCATCAAC